GATGTTGTGTAGAGTACGGGACTGCTAAGTACTGCGGAATGGCCCAGGTTAAGACCTGCTTCACCGAGCCGGAGCTTCCTTTTTGGTGGTGGACGATTTGTTCATCGATCAATCGATAAACTAATGCACATCAGCTTTTCCTCGATGTGTTTGATTAAGTCGGTTCAGTTAAGATTTTCAGCTCATAAACCGTGCATCGAAGTGCAATGGTTCCAACCGTTACAGCTTTGTTCATCCATAATATGGAGGATCGGAAGATAAAAGTCATGCGTGGGAGGCAATGGCACAATAATTTCACCGACGTCCAATGGTTGCACTTGTCCGACGTCGCAAGGACTCGGAGCTAGGCCTTCGAAGGAGATGGCCTGGATTCAAGACCAACAATAGCTACAGAACACAACTATAGCTGTCAGTGGCAATGACCATTGGTTTGTTTCGATGCGCGGCTCGCACCCGGGACGACGGCATTTACAAAAAGACTGAGTTTCTTAGTGAGGAATTTCATGCTTCGTTATCGGGCCGGGAACTGACCGCCCCTGGGTCGACTGCATTCGGCACAAGCCTTGGCGAATAGAGCTCCACGAGAAGAACAGTCCTCTGGCATACGGAGCGCATATCCCAACCAGAGTAACCTGTGGAATGTGACCACCTAATGTATCGAGGTAGAGTGAAGTTTCTTGAAAACCATCTGACATTCTTCAGCATTACCAATCTGACGTTGCCATCAGGCCCGCGCAATGCTTCAGAGATACCTATGTTCAAACACAGAGAGCCTTCGCAGGTTGTCCACGAGCAGCGGCAACGTCTCTGACCCATCGAGTAGGAGAGACGGGACAGCGGCATTGTGCACTCTAATCTTGGAAACCAACCTGATGTCCTGTCGGAACCATAAGTGTCGGAGTTCGGCGACCGTTGTCCTAGCCTTCTCATTTTGGCGGCTCATTTCGTCTTTCGCCAGACCACTGAGGCTTGCGCAGCCGTCCAGGTAAAAGGAACTTATCGTCTACATCGATCGGTTCACCTGCAAGCAGGAGGTTTGTGTTCGATCCCACCTTATCCATCCGGTGCATTTTACACGCTACAAGGGGGAGGCCCACACCAAACTACGTGGCAGAATTATTTAGGTCATTTAAAGTAGTTTCCGTTGCTAAAAGATCATACTCAAGAAGAGGAATAGCATCAGCATACGGGATCATTTCAATCCCCGAAGTATCGCAGCCAGGTGAGGAACACCAAATCAGCATATTGAACACAGAGTTAGGGGTAAAAGGAGACCAGTGACACCTCTGCCTAGCACTACCTGATGTGGTGAACTCAGGAGAGAATTTGCCGTAGGGGCGAACATGCCCACGGTGAAAGTCATATAAAGCCTTCATAAGAGAACACAACTATTAAGTGTACCCTTCAACACCAAACACTACCATAGTTTCTGACGATGCCAACGTAGTAAAAAGCAGGTGTGGGATCGAAAAATGCGACCTTTATTGGTCATCGGAAGAAGTCGCGCAGCTCCAACACTTGTCGCAATGTGGAGCAGTAATCTCAGGTCGGACTGCAAACGTTTTTGTTCCTCAAAGACACAAATATACAGAACCCTCTCGAATGTTTTTGAGGCCACAAGTCAGCAACGAGGCACTGGCCGCCTCAATGCACTCATGTAAAATCATGACAAATAGTTACTTTATTGGTTAGAGGCTTGCGCAGCCGTCCAGGTAAAAGGAACTTATCGTCTACATCGATCGGTTCACCTGCAAGCAGGAGGTTTGTGTTCGATCCCACCTTATCCATCCGGTGCATTTTACACGCTACAAGGGGGAGGCCCACACCAAACTACGTGGCAGAATTATTTAGGTCATTTAAAGTAGTTTCCGTTGCTAAAAGATCATACTCAAGAAGAGGAATAGCATCAGCATACGGGATCATTTCAATCCCCGAAGTATCGCAGCCAGGTGAGGAACACCAAATCAGCATATTGAACACAGAGTTAGGGGTAAAAGGAGACCAGTGACACCTCTGCCTAGCACTACCTGATGTGGTGAACTCAGGAGAGAATTTGCCGTAGGGGCGAACATGCCCACGGTGAAAGTCATATAAAGCCTTCATAAGAGAACACAACTATTAAGTGTACCCTTCAACACCAAACACTACCATAGTTTCTGACGATGCCAACGTAGTAAAAAGCAGGTGTGGGATCGAAAAATGCGACCTTTATTGGTCATCGGAAGAAGTCGCGCAGCTCCAACACTTGTCGCAATGTGGAGCAGTAATCTCAGGTCGGACTGCAAACGTTTTTGTTCCTCAAAGACACAAATATACAGAACCCTCTCGAATGTTTTTGAGGCCACAAGTCAGCAACGAGGCACTGGCCGCCTCAATGCACTCATGTAAAATCATGACAAATAGTTACTTTATTGGTTATCAATCCACTTAGGGTCATTAGAAAAAACCGGGAGGGGGGTGGAAACTCCAACCGACAAAAGATCACAGCATCCCCCTTACACCACTTTCTTAGCACTAGCTCACCGACACAGACTGACAAAAGGTTCAAACGAAGTTCAAGAGGAACCATCAAATGAACCGAACCAGAGGAACTAGACACTAGACTGGACCCAAACACATGTAGGTTTCCCCACCGACCCAACACTTGTTCAACCATTCTAACACACTAAAATCCCTCGGCCGACACCCAACAGAGATTTAGCTTGACTTAGCTGATTGGTTCTCCTTCCGCTTTATATCTCGACCAACCTCGGAACCAGGTCACTTGGCCTGACGAAACTTTTGTGTCAAAAGCGAAACGTTTCCCAGCAATAAATCTACCGATTGCCACCAAACGTTTTCGAAAAGTCACTTTACTACTTGTAAACTAAAAGTCAACTTTTCGGAACAGAGTGAAGCAAAGTGTTTGGCTAAAAAAACCTTAATTCAAGATAGCAGTGTCTGGTTAACTACCTCAAATTTTAGGGACCCAATAGCCAAAGATGTTCTAATCCCCAACTCAGAATACCAGGTCGCTGTACACATCAGATCCCTGTCCATCAGTCGACCTGATGTGAGAGACAATGTGGATGTTGGATGGACACAAAGAGTGACCCAAGTGCACAAACCAACGCACCGCTATAAGATCCAGTCTCTTCATAAAAGGACACTAGGAGCATCGACGGCGAAATCCTTGTTAAACGCTTGTTTTTCCTGCCTAAACGTGAGTTCGCCTCAGTCTTCCGTTTATGGTGGTGCTTTTGTCGACCTCGAAGTCTTACTGGAAGCATCAACGTAAAGGAGGTTATTCGACCATTCCAAAAGCAATGTTTTCCCCCAACCTAACCACTCGGTGATTGTAAATCAAACCGGCTATCACGATTACCCGCAGCCAATCGTTTCCCATACGCTCACCAAGTATACAATCCCCACAAGCAGTTTATCCGTCTAGTATAAATATGGTTTAAACAAATAACTCGAATGCTGATGAACAGCCAGATTGCGTGCACTGATCTTCCGCGCCAGGGTTAATTGCCAGACAACGGAAGAATCTGGAAAAATTGTTTTTTAGTGGGCCTGATCCTTATTTTCCCGACTGCCAAGCCCTTTCGAGGATCAGGCCACAATTTTACTCGCCCTGGGAATTTCCCACGGCACCGTAGTAATCTATTACTATTCAGGTTGTCACAATTGTTGACGGCTTGTCGCAATCAAGCCCCGCACATGTTGGGTTGGTGACTCAGCGATAAACTGACTGACAGCAACAAGCCACATCCTTTTGTGTCCATCCTAACGGCCCCAATATGCGTTTTTTTTTGTTTCCGGGCCCTAGTTTAACATCAGCCTGATTAGGTTTCACTGCTCCTAGGAATCCATGCCGATTTATTTTGCTCTGCACGTCTCGAATTGAATGGTAGAAGACTGCCGAAATCCAATTAATCGATCGGACTTTCCGATCACCTCTGATTGGTGCTCCATTCGCACACCGCTGACCTGCTTCGCCTAACGAAGCGTTTTTTTCGCCAAACGCATGAATGAGATTATCGATTTATTGATTTTCTGTCACCTCAAGCTCTTTCCGAAAACTACATAATAAAATCCCTTTTAGTGACCATGTTTACGGATGAAACCACAGCACTACGATAATCGGAGAGAACATTTTACTGTAAATGGCTATGATGAAAGAATACGTGCGATTTTGTTGAAATTCAGTTGGATCTTTTCTAGATAAGCCCCGCCAAGAATGCAAAAAGTGCATGTGCGAAAAGTTAAGCCCCGCCCCGCTTTTTGCGAGCTCCAGTTTTATGTACGCATACAACCTCGACCTACTTTTGATGAAAACAATTCCTTATCCCCATCTAGGATCATTTCGTGCAAAATTTTCTCGGTTCGGACGTAAAAGCTTAGATGAACTTTCTGACGCTTTCAACTCTCGTTCATGACAAGGAGACGGCAATATATTTTTTTGCAAAGCCATGGAGTGATCCATCAGCAACGTTTATGCAACAATGGCCAACAAATGGCACTTTCAACTGTTTCTGACAGATAAGGGTCTAATGCCCGACAATGTCGGCAAGAAATCAGTCTTCGAAAGGAAATTTGGCTGGAGTGGTCTAGGATGGAGTTTAGGACAGTAATTCTATTCATTTATTCCTGGTCCAAAAATTTGGTGAAAATCAAAGTCTGCTCGAGGAATTATCTATTAGCCACATGACCGCTGTTGAACGGACGAGCTTTCTTCGCAAAGTTTGTGCATGGCGGCTTTAGCAGACTCCAAAAGTTATCGGCGGCCCAGATCGATGAGACGCTAATATCTCACCGTAAAAACCACGCAGGGCGAGGCCTTCCCCAGCAGTGGATTTTCGGAGGGATCTACCGGGAAACTAAAGAGGGGTTCATATATGCAATGCCAGATCGAACCGCGACCAGGCCTGCATCGCTCCCGGCTCAATCATCATCTCCGATATGTGGGCATCGTACCAAGGAGTGACATGTCCCAATTTCACCCTTTTCAATAAAAACCAAAAGTACAAATTTCATATCCTCTTTTTGCGAATCTTTTTTGGCTGGCGGGATTCAATTTTATGGTGGGGCTTATCTTGAAAAGACCCGTTAGGTTTTCCTTAGAAAGTAAACAGTCCAACTCAGTAGTAGGTTTCACTGACCAGTGAAAAGAAATCTTAAGCTATGTCTAGAATTCAGAAACTCCAAACCTGCCGATTTCACATGTGGTGACTTGAAGGCTATTGATTTTACTCTACAGTTTATGGACCAATCAAAAGTCAAGCGCCAGAGTTCTGGTGGAGTAATGCTTTACTAGGTTTGAGGCAACTGGATTCACGAGCCTAGAGCTTGATTACAGCTCAGATTCGCTTTTCATCTCAAATGAACTGGGCAGAATGGTAGGAGCGAACCCTCGTCTGAGACCCCCGACACTAAAAGCGCATCAGGTACACGTATGCGATGTGCTGATCACCATCATCAGCATC